GTGAGGGGCCCGGCCCAGCTGGGATGCAGCTGTCAGCCCCTGTGCTGGGTCTTCGGGGGGGCGGGGGGGCAGGGGGTGTCCCTCCAGTCCTGCCTGTACTCACGGCCACCGAGAGGGTCACCGACGCCAGCTCCACTTTGCCCAGGTGCCCGCAGAACACCGAGCTCACGACGTAGATCATGAAGGACAGCACCTGGAACAGGAACTGGACAGGGCAGCCTGGGTCAGGGGTGCCCGGCACAGCCCCGCATTCACCAGGGGCCCACAGAGCTCCCTGAGCCCCGGCACAACCCACACCCGGGATCTGTGTGCTGAGCCGGCCCAGCAGCCAGGGCCGGAGCCAGGAGGCAGCGCTGCTCCCGCTGTGCCCTCCACAGCTGTGTGGACCCCCGGCTGCAGGTCTATTGCCTGAACGTGCAGCAATGAGACACCGAGCAGGAGCCCGGGACTAACGCAAGCATTCGCCACTGCTGCCCATGTCATGGAACCATTGGCCAGGCCACAGATAAACAAAAAGGAGGAATAAAATCCATCCAAATCTTAGCAATGGCCCTGGCCAGTGTGCTCAGTGGTTAGAGAGCCCACTTGCTCACCAAAGGGTTTCGGGTTAGATTCCAATCAAGGGCATGTACCTGGGTTGCAAGTTCGATCCCCAGCCTGGTCGTGGTGCGTGTGGGAGGCAAGCAATCGATGTGTCTCTGTCACATCAATGTTTCTCTCTCTCCCCTTACCCCTTCCTCTCCACTCTCTCTGAAAATCAATGGAAAAAAATATCCTCAGGTGAGAATAAAAAGTCTTAGCAATGACTATGTCCAGGTGGTGGGATTGGAGATGAATTTCTTTCTTCTTTATAACTTCTTGTTTTGTCTGAAACTTTTACAAGGAACACATATCAATTAGCTTTTGTGATTTAAAAAAAATGTATCTGAAGACATTTTCCTTTGTCAATAAAAAGGGCAGCGCCCGGCTGGTGTGGCTCAGTGGTTGAGGGTTGACCCATGAACCAAGAGGTCACAGTTGGATTCCGGGTCAGGGCACATGCCCGGGCTGTGGGCTCGGTCCCTGGTGGCGGGCGTGCAGGAGGCAGACAATCAGTGATTCTCTCTCATCATATTTCTATCTCTCGCTCCCTTTCCCTTTCTCTCTGAAACCAATAAAATATGTAAATAAATAAATACATACATGAAAAGGGCAGCGGGCCCCCTTCCCCTGCACACACCTCTCAGGGGAGGCCTGTGGCTCCTGCATCGGTGGCTCTCACTTGTCACTATGAGACCTTCCACCCCCACCTGCCTGTGGGTTTCCGAAGGAGGACAGGAGGTCCCTGCTGAGCGTGGCCAGGCCCCACCTCTACCCCCGGCACCGTCCGGGGACAGCTGTCCGCGGTCACCTGCTCTGGGCGGCAGCCCCTGGTGCAGTCTGAAGGTGGCCAACCAGGGAGTTTCTGGGGAAGGGTGGTGGGCAGCCCCTGGCACACCCAGGTCATGCCTGGAGCAGCTGGCCCCCAGCCCCCGCCCCGCATGCCACCTCCTTACCAGGGGTCCAGACAGGACGAAGAGCCTCCACGCCTCAGCCCGAAAGCCCTCGGGGACCAGCTTGCCGAGGGCAGGGCAGCAGCCCCCGCGCTCTGGGCGCACTGCGTCCTGGAGGCTGTCCATTCCCAGCCCTGGCTGCTGGCTGGGCTCCCGTGCGCCTGAGCACCCCCTTGGCCAGCCTCACCGAGCAGCCGAGTCACCTTGCAGCCTGGCTAATGAGTAAGGAGAGGGAGGAGGGCTGCCTTGAAGACCAGCTGTGGGGTAAGCCTCGCCTCCTGGGCAGCCCACTGGCCCTGGCCCCGAGCCAGGAAAGGACAGTACAGAGCCCTGGCCACCTGGGAGGCACCTGGGCTGACGCCTGTGGGTGCCTTGTGTCTGCTCTCCCCCGGGGTCAGCAGCGAAACCTCGGAGGGGGGCTTGGGGGCAGACAGGGGTGTGCTGGGCGAGGCGGGGCGGGGACCCTGGGAGCCTTACACGTTGGTGTGGTCGTGCCCAGATGGCGCCCATTTCACGATGAGAAATGGAGACAGAGAGCCAGGCGGCAGAGCCCGGGCTCCAACCAGGTGGACTGCCTCAAGAACCCTGCCCTGAGGAGGGAGGGGTCAGGTGGGAGCCTGGGGTGGGGGCTGGGGCTAGGATCCCTGGGCAGAGACCCCTCGCCCTCCCTCTGCCCCCACCCCTTAGGGCAGCAGCCCTGAGAGCCAGGTGCCCCTGCCTAGGCAGCCAGCCCCCTGCGCTCGGCGTCTGTTTTGCTCAGTGAAGCAGTCACTGGGCCTCCTGCCAGGTTCCTTCTGCCCCCTGGTCTATAGTCTCTTCCCATCTAAGAGGGTTGGTGCGCCCCCAGGACAAGCAGGCAGCCCACACTGGGGGAGCTGGTAACTGCCCTTCACGGGGCTCCGGCCTGGATGGGGCTTTGAAGTGTGGGCTGACCCAGGAGAGGAGGAGTGAGTGAGGGGCCCACAGGACTGGCAGGCAGGACAGCTGGCCTGGAGGCGGCCAGACTCCAGTCCCCTAGGCGCCCAGCCGGGGAGCTGCATGGAGGGAGGAATCAGGACACAAACAGGAGATGCTCATCACTCCCTCCCATGGCGGCCGCCAGCGTGCCCCGCCCACAGGCACAGGAGCCTCCTCTTCACAGAATGTTCACTGGCTTGGGCACCTGGGCACCTGGGTGATGTACTCTCCCTCACTCCGCCAAGCGCCTATTGGAGTACTCTGCAGCCTGTGCACGGAATAGTACATTTACCACCAACAAGAGGAACGAGAAGAGGTAGTGCCACTGCAATGGCTAGTATTTGACTCAAAGGGTGGGGGCAGAGCACAGCTGTTTGGCTTCCTCCTCTGAAAGGGTGACTGAGCCGTCACCACGGGACCTGAGCCGGGTCCCTGTTCCGTGAAGGGCCGGAGGCTGGCAGTGGTGCCTCCTGTCAGCTGGCACTGCCACGCGGGGACGTGCTTCCCCTCCCCGGACCCTCTGTGCACCCCGGGCCTCCGAGCCGGCCTGGCCGGAGAGGAGCCACTCCAGGCGCCCGCGGAAGCTGCATCCGGATGGTCGGCCAGAGCTCCATGCGGCCAGCCCGGCCTCCTGCGGCCTCGGGGCCATCACAGACGCGCTCCATCCTCCGTCTCCGCGCCTTGGCCCTGAGGAGGGCAGAGAGAGAGTCTCCCGCCTCCTGGGAGGCGCCAAGGACTCACCATGAGGAGGGCCCAGAGCTACAAAGTCCTGGGGAGGCGCCGGGGAGGACAAGGGGAGCAGGGAGTCACGGCAAGCCCCCTACACACCTTGGAGTTAGGGAGGCTTCCAACCCCAAGAGGGAGCCTGCTGGGAGCTGGTACCCATGCCTGGCAGCTCCCCATGCCACCGACCAGCGCAGCGCAGGGACGGCCCTGCCGGGCAGCTGACTGCCGAGTTCTGCCAGGCACGGTCGGAGCCCGGCCTCTGTTTACTGGTTACTTGTTAACTGTTAGCTCCGTACACTTGGTTACACTTCACCAACCCGGAGCCGCTAGGTGTCCCCTCGGCCTCCCTGAGCCCCCCTCCCCGCCCCCAGGCCTGCTGATTTCTGGGTTTCAACACCAGAAAATGCCGTGAGGTTAGAAAACAGTGACTGGAGCCTTCCGGAGGGCGTGTGGCCGGGCGGCGCTCCGTGTGGCCGGCACCCTCTGACTCAGCCCGTCCTCCGGGAGGGGCCTGTGCCAGGAAGTCGCCTCAGTTAACCTGCCCGGTTACCACGCACTATGGCCGGGCCGGACATGGGGCACCGTCAGTGCGATCCTCCCGGTGACCTCGAGATTTCCATGCTGAAACCTCTTTACCTTCTCTGTACCCGTTTCTAAGCCGCCACAGTCATCTTGCTGGAGTTTTCATTGGCGGACCACTGCTACCAACTGGTCGTAAATACTCCCTACTTAGTTTGTCTCTACTTTGTAGAAGACTAATCCTTACTCGCTTTTTAAAAAAAGACAAAACATTTCTTTATTGATTTGAGAGAGAAACATCGACATGTTGTTCCACTATTTATGCACTCTGGCTGCTTCTTGTATGTGATTGCCTGGGATCAAACCCACAACCTTGGCGTATCAGGAGGACGCTCTAACCAGCTGAGCTCCCCGGCCAGCGCTCTGTCCCCAGGGGAAAGCCCAGGCCAGCTCTGCTCACCGCCCCTCAGGCTGCCACCCTGACTCGCTATGTGCAGCCTCCCTCCCCCGGCCTCCCCTTCATCTGGCCTCCTCACCGGGCCTCCGGGCTCTGGCCTCCCTGCTCCCAGGCCGAAGGCTGCCTGCATCAGTGTCCTCGAAAAGAGGCCGAGGACACAGTCAGCAGCTGGCCAGGGGAGCCGAGAGCAGCCCTCTCAGGCTGCAGGTCATGCATCTCTCATGCTCGCCTTTAAACAGAGGTCGTCCGGGCTCATCTGGCCTTTGTGTTCTGTATCCTTGACGCTGCGTCTTGGGGGCCTTGCTGACACTGAAGGGCCTGCCCCGCCCAGGGCTGGCCACTCCCAGGGATACAAACAGCTCTGCACCTACCATGCCAACCAACACCCAGGTCGTGCGCGCCCAGCACCTCTACGCGCTCCCAGCCGGCTGCCCTAACCACCCAGAGCCGCTGCCAGACACCCAGGCCAGCGGCAATCATTCCATCGTAAACCCTTCCCTCCCAGGAAGGGACACTCCGGCGGCAATCATTCCAGCGCATCCATCGTAAACCCTTCCCTCCCAGGAAGGGACACTCCACGCTCTTGCCCACGTTCCCCTCCTGACTGACCCTGGGGCTCCCCGCTGTGGCCCCCAGTGACATGGAGTGCCCCCTCCTCTTGGGAACTTTGTGAAAGAAACGGTCTTTTCAATGGCAGTTGTCTCCTGATCTATTGCCCTTGTCATACCTGAATAATAACAAAAAATAATAATAACCTACATGTTAAAACTGTCTAGAAAAGGGAGGAATCCCTTCGTTACTCAGAGACCCAAAGCTGGTGATGAGCAGAGTCTGGGCAGCCGTGGCCCCTGGGAGGCAGCCTGAGTTGTGCTATCAGCCCATCAGGCCTGTGTTTTTACCTTCGTTCAAGGACACGCTCACCAAGGGAGTCCTGGGCAGCGGTGGAGGGGCCCTATGGTGCGTGATGCACTGTGGGAGGTAAGCCCTTCATGAAAAAATGCAGTGCAGCTGGGGACAGAATCAAGGCCCAAGTGACAGGACGCACTGGAAAAGGTAGGCCGCGTGTGTCACCCGGGTGCAGGAAGCCAGAGACTGCGCAGCTGTGGGCAGCTCCTCCGTGAGGCGGGCTGCGCTGGGGAAGACTGGCCGGTCACTCAGTGGTTAGAGCATCGCCCCATGGACTGAAGGGTCCCGGGTCTGACTCACGTACCTCAGGGGCACTACCTTGGTCGCAGGCTCCACGCCCAGCCCTGGTTGGGAGGCGTGCGAGAGGCATCCAATCAATGTATCTCTCACATCAATGTTTCTCTCTTTCTCTCTCCCCCTCCCTTCCACTCTTTCTAAAAATTAATGGAAAAGTATCCTCCGGTGAGGGATTAACAACAAAAATAATAACAAATAAAATAAAATTTCTGGGTGTGGCCTGGTCATTTGCATTTTTATTTTTCATTTATTTTACTTATTTCCCAATTGCAGTTCACATTCAATATTATTTGGTATTAATTTCAGGTGTACAACATAGTGGTTAGACATTCATATACTTTACAAAGTGCTCCCCATTTGCAATACCCAACTGGCACCGTACAGTTATTACTATGCTAGAGGCCGATGCATGAAATTTGTGGAAAAGTAGGCCTTCGCAGCCCCTGCTGTCTCGCAGCCCCGTCCCCCACCCGCACCCGCCTTGGTCTGGCCCTGTCCACGCCCACCGCCACACACCCCCAGTTCCCCGGTTCCACGGAGCCCTCCGATCGATTGCCCCACAGAGGGTGGGCTGGGCCTCCCTCTTTGGGGCGATCGCAGAGCTCCCCCCACCCATGGATCACCCCACTGGCCAGTGGGCTGGGCCTCCCTCTGTGGGGTGATCGTGGGCCAATGGCAGGCCCCCCGACCAATCGCATTGCACCCGCCGTGCTGGCCTGGCGCCAGTGTGTGTCATAGCGTGGTCGTCCGGAAGGTCATTCTGCTGTTCAGCCGTTCGGTCGCTTTGCATGGTACGCTTTTATTATTATGGATTACTGACTATATCTCTTACGCTGTACTATTGTGTAACTACCAATCTCTACTTCTCAATCCCTTCACTTTTTTCACCCAGTCCCCCATTAAGACTGATGTTCTCTGTATCTATGAGTCTGTTTCTATTTTGTTTGTTCCTTTATATTGTTCTTTAGATTACACGTATAAGTGAAATCATATGCTATTTGTCGTCCTCTGACTAATTTATCTCACTGAGTATAATACCCTCTAGGTCAGTGATGGCGAACCTTTTGAGCTCGGCGTGTCAGCATTTTGAAAAACCCTAACTTAACTCTGGTGCCGTGTCACATATAGAAATTTTTTTATATTTGAAACCATAGTAAAACAAAGACTTCTATTTTTGATATTTATTTTATATATTTAAATGCCATTTAACAAAGAAAAATCAACCAAAAAAATGAGTTCGCGTGTCACCTCTGACACGTGTGTCATAGGTTCGCCATCGCTGCTCTAGGTCCATCCATGTTGTCATAAATGGTAAGACTTCATTCTTTTTATGGCCGAGTAATATTCCATGGTATATATGTACCACAGCTTTTTTATCCACTCGTCTATTGATGGACACTTTGGCTGCTTCCATAGCTTGGCTATCCATATTAATAAAAAGGTAATATGCTAATTAGACCAGATAGACTGGACATCTTCCGGATGTCCTTCTGGACAAAGTCGAAGCTGCTTTGGGCCGAGGGCCGGCGGCGCGGGAGAGGTGGAGGTGTAGGAGAGGCAGTGACATGGGAGAGGCAGCGGCAGGAGAGGCAGCAGGCGGCCCCTTCCGCAGAGGTGGCGCGGGAAAGGCCTTGGTGCGGACCGGTCCAGCGCAGCAGCCCCTTCTGCAGAGGCAGCCACAGAGGCAGTGGCTCGGGCCCGGGCCTGGCACCACGTCTTCGCAGAGGCTAGACGGGGTGCAACCTGCTGTGTGTCAACCTCCCACAGCCCCTCCCCCAGCTGGCCTGGCCCCAGATCACCCCCACCCACCAGTGGGCGGGGGGCAGGGCCAGCACTAAGAAGTGAGGGCCAAGGGCCGGCAGCCACGGCAGCTGGCAGTGGCAGCAGCAGCGGGGTGATAGGGGCAGCGCCTTCCCCTGATAGGCCCGGTGGCCTCCCGCAGAGGGAGGCCAGACTGCAGCTTAGGGGAGCGGGCCTAAGCTGTCAGTAGGACATCCCCTGAGGGCCCCCAGACTGTGAGAGGGGGCAGGCCGGGCTGAGGGACCCCCCACAGTGCACAAATTTTTGTGCAATGGGCCCCTAGTTGTAAATAATGCTGCAATGAACACAGGGGTGCATATATTTTTTCGAATTAGTGTTTTGGGTTTCTTTGGATATATTCCCAGAAGTGGAATAACTGAGTTATAAGGCAGTTCCATTTTTAATTTTTTGAGAAACAGCCATACTGTTTTCCACAGTGGCTGTACCAGTCTGCCTTCCCACCAACAGGGCACCAGGGTTCCCTTTCCTCCACATCCTCGCCAACATTGTTGTTTGTTGTTTGTTGTTTTATTGATGATGAGAGGCCCAGTACATGAAATTCATGCACTCAGGGGGGTACCTCAGCCCAGTCTGTGCCCTCTCGCAGTCTGGGAGCCCTCAGGGGATGTCCCACTGCTGTGGAGGCGGGAGAGGCTCCCGCCACGGCCACCGAGCTCACCAGAGGTGAGCCCAGCTCTGGCTGAGCATGGTCCCCCTGTGGGAGCGCACTGACCACCAGGGGGAAGCTCCTGTGATGAGCGTCAGCCCCCCGGTGGTCAGTGCGCATCATAGTGGCCATTCGTTGCACCCTCCGGTCGATTTCCATATTGGCCTTCTATTACATGGGAGGACAGCCATTCTGACGGGTGTGCGGTGACACCTCATGTGGTCTTAACTTGCGTCTCTGATGACGAGTGATGATGAGCCTCTTTCATGTCTCTTGGCCGTCTGTGTGTCCTCTTTGGAGAAGTGCCTAGTTGGGTCCTTTGCCCATTTTTTCATTGGAGTGTGTGTGTGTGTGTGTGTGTGTGTGTGTTCTGGGTGTTCGTCTGCACTTTTAAAGTGTTCCCGGGGTGTTCTCAGTGACCAGCAGGGTTGGAAATTCAGCAGCTCAGCAATGTGTGGCTCTGGGTCAGTCGCCTCCGCGCTCTCGGGGGCGTTCCCTCCTGACCACAACGGCGTAGCAGCCGCCCCTCACTGCCCTGGCAGCGCCCCCACTCACATCTCTGCCTCCGGCCCTTTCGGGAATCACTTCCCCAGAAGTACCTCAACACCTTCCTCTAATATCACACACCCCGCTAGGTCCGCCTCCAGGAGACGGTTACTGAATCTAGGGTTGAGCCAGCAGTTCGACCCTGGC